ATGCAGGAAAGTTCGATTACTGTTCAGATGCAAGCTGCTCGCTTCCCCATCTCGAAGACAACGTGTTCTGACCTCACAACCACAAGCCGCGATTGCCTCTCCCTGTGAACACGCAGAGTGCTGGGTGGGAGGCTGTCAAAACTCGGCAGAGGGTCATTCCAGTCGTCCCAAGTAGGTACAGTAGGCCAGCCGAGTTGCTGGTTTGTGCAGGTGACGCAGATAACGGATGCCTGGGGCTTCTTCAACTTTGCCAAGGCTGCCAGGACTGCGGGACCATTGACGTACCTGGCGACATCTCATGCGTCGCCCGAGTTCAGACCAAAGGCTAATTGCCCTTGAAGACACATGCCCGAAGTGCACATGCGGCAGCTGATGCATGCTCCGCACTGATGCCCGCATTGCCCAGAACACCTGCAGGACCTCTTCATCGGTCATCCCCAGCCTGCCGCACGGCGAGCTGTGCAGAATCGTGCATCGCTCATGGAAGCTGCCTGAAGCCAGACTCTGGAATGGCGGCTTCGCGGTAGGTACGGATGAAAAGCTCAGGCCTGAATGGGAGAGACATTGAGATTTGAAGTTGCGCAGCGAACTCTTGTTCTTGATGAAGCAACGGATAAGGGTAAGCTGTCCACTGCATCAGGTCGACATTCTGCAGCAAATCACAGAAGTGAAGGATTTTTGTCCTGAGATGTGACTCGTCGGTGTGCTCCGAATTGGCATGAAGCTAAGTGCAAAGACGGCAGTGCAAATGATGCCAGCAGAGGAGATCCCCGACCAGTGAGAAACCATACCAGAGAAGCGTGCCGATAGGACCAGAAAGTCACGACCACTGTGACATGCGAACATTTACGCCACGTAACCCCCCCCCCCCCCCCCCACAACGGGCACTTAGTTACGATCAGGACGACCATTCAGAACCACGCGCCGAATCGCTGGTTTCAGGTAGTTTAAACAACGAGAGCATGGCAGACTCGGGCTCCCCCATGCACAGGAGGCTCCCAGACCAGCGTGAAAGCACGACACTTATGCTTCCCCCCACTACAGTAGCTTCCGAGATCCACAGGAACACCGAATCGGAATCCTAGCGCAAGTACTGAAGTTTTCGAGAGCCAAGAGGCTCATGGAGTACTGTTTACGATGAATCCTGGCCCCGGGGCGTGTGCAAATAATCGGACGACAGCGAAAACTATGTACCGCAGCACAGCGGGAGACGCACGTTCGACACATCCTGCGTAAACTATAGGATGCGGGGGCCAGATGTGAGATGTGCAGCATCTGCTATACAATAGGTCGCGGGGCGCCATTTTTGAGCGTGAGCCACGCGCCCTGCGAAATCAATTCTCCTTACCCAGAACCTCATAGTATGACCACACTGTTTGGGGACAAAACCTCCGAGTCGAGGGACTGGTCCTCGTCTGTGACAAACTGATCGTTTTGCTTCTCAAAATCCCCATAAGCCTGCTGGACCTCGTCAAAGCTGGACGCCTTCAAGAGTGAATCTGCCGAGCAATCAAACGTGAAACGTGCCACTGCAAGAAGCGAAGCCGCACTGAAGCTGCGACCTGAACGTTTGAACTCTTGCCTCCTTCAACTTCTGGCGGGTCATCTCCACTTGCCTGAACTGCAAAGTCCTGTTCTGTAGCCTGCCGACTCCCTCAGAGCCGTGATGCCTCATGAACTCAGCCTCTGCCTCCTGCGAGGAGATGCCACGCAATTGGTATCGCATCCTCAGCTCCGGGCCCGAATGCTCTGAACTTGGTCTCAGAGTCTCGGAGCTAACTGCGAGTTTTAGGCCGAGACTCTCAACTCGGAGATCCAGGCTTGCAAGGTAGGCCACCTTCATGAGCGCTGATCTGGTGCGCTCGTTGAAGCCTGTCTTGTCCACTATCTTTTCCTTATTCGACGCCAGAAGCTGAAAAAACCTCCGGTGAACTTGAACCACAGTATATTATATGATATGGCTTTGCTACCCCAGTGGCAAGGATCATGTGAACGTCTTCCGGGCGACTTGCCTGTCTGACTCTTGTAACAAGGTCCGCTCAATACCGTGCATCACCTCTACTTTGGACGTCGTCGTGCTCTGCAAAGGTACGCCTAGCAAACGGTGCCCCACCTGGGCGTCCCGGACGTCCATCGCCTTGACGCGGCCCAGGAGTTCAATACCTGCACGACTGGGGACTTGCACTTGAAGTTGCCATCGTCCAGTGTTGGAGGAGACAACATTGTCTGGACAAGGCGCCACGCGGCTCCAGCAGGACTACTTTGCAGGGTAGCCGGTTCCGCAAGACCTCGCAAACTATCAGGCCAGTCAGGCATGAAGGCTCTCTCGGATCTGTGTCGAGGCCCAAACCTCGGCGATCTCGGCAATGACCCAAATTCGAGTCAGAACGCAAAGGCCGTCATCTACAGCCACCACCTGAGTTTCTTCGGTCCGGTACTTCTCGAAGCAGCTTGGCCTAGGGCTGCCAAGGTCGCATGTTCGTAGCGTGGATTCCGCTCCTGGAAAAGTGCGATCATCGCCTGCAGCTTGGCCCAGGTCGAACACAAACGCAGACTAGTACCTACAAGTATGTATGACATCTTGATGACATCGTCGTAGGCTGTTGAAGACGCTGCACCAAGTGTTTCACAGAAAGTGGCATCGAACTTGTTCATCTCGCAGAAAATGCCAGAGTGAACTTTCTCCTCCGGGACACTAAGATTTCTGCAGTTCGCAAGTAGGCAGTCGACAACGTGAAAACGTTACCTTGCTTTCGCGGTGTCTCCTTTCTGCATCCACACGGTATATACGGCCGGCCAAGGACCGAATCCTTGCCACCCCATGTCTTGTCGCAGATGGAAACGTGCCTGCCAGGATCACGCAAAGGCATGAGCCAGAAGGCCATGCCGCCGACCAGCGACGGCCCGGCGACGGCTCGCTACAAGCAGCGGCTTCTGGGATCCCCGGCTGATTCACCGCAAAGATGCAGAGCCAACGGCTGGAGTCCAGCTGCCCCGCATCCTGAACTTCAGCCTCGATGAGGTCCCAGCCTCTACGGCAGCAGAGCGAAGGGCGGACAGCATCAAAGAGGGCCCACTGACCTCGCCTGGGGAACCCAATCGCATCCATGAAAGCATCGTTCGGAAGCTCGTCTTGCCGGATGCATCGGCAAACAGTGCTGCCATCAAATGAGAGAATAGATTCCCCCAGTTATGCGACACCATCTTGTCCGGCAAGCACTTCTCCTGGAGGTGAGTGGGCCAAATATATCTGCCAAAACGATAAACTCGTTGAAATGCTATCGCTGGCCGGACCCACTCTGAGGGAGAACACAAAACCCGGAGTCGCTAACCGAACCCTGCCAAGCCCACGATGCACCTAGTCGGCGACCACCAGTTATGGATAGTTATGGTGTTGGAGGCTACCCTGGCAGGTGCTTCCAAGTTTCGCTGCTTTGGAATAAGTCTGCATACGAGCTGCCATTCTCTGCAGTCTCTGGAATGATGACCTAAATGGTCTGCTTTCAATAAGAAGTGAGCCGTCTAGGGTCTGGGCACCGAAGCACATGCGACACATCGAGCAAACCTTGCCGAGTGCTACCTAGATGCTTGCCAAACAACATCAACGGTCCTAGGCACACGAAGTTTGTGTGTACGTGAACATCGCAATCGCAGCCGTCCTGGTGGTATCCAGATCATAGTGAGGCATGGCGTCCGGCAAACGGCGCATAAATGCCAGAAGGCCTGGATGCCAGAAAGCGTGACTCAACATGGTTCTCATCTTTCTACTGCGGACTCTTACTTGCAATTATGCTGGAGTCGGTGAACTGTCGGCGCTTTGCAATTTGGACTCGCGTTGGGTTGGCCGATTAAAAGTGCCAGGAGCACTGTCCGTGCCGCTGCGACGCCTTGGGTTTTGGGGTGAGGTGTGTGGAGTTTCCGCATCGGCAGTGCTTGTCGCTTCCGACCCACCGGCCAGCTGAGGTTCCGTGCCCTGGTTCCATGATTTTCCCTGCTTAGTGCTTTCGCCCAGTGATGAATTGGAAGGCTTGGGTCAAACACCACATATGATGGCATTGGCATCTTTCGGCAGGGACCCTGACCACGGTGCTGTCTGAAAACGTTTTGCCAAGGTGAGTCTGGGGTATTGCCAGGCAACACATGACATGTTCTTTCCTTCTCTAAGGGACTTCCGTCATCCAAGCACCAAGCTGCAGTGGACGGTACGCACTCGGCTGTTTCAAGGGCTTCTTGAAGGCTTGTTCATGCTGTCTCAACCATCAGCAGACAATGACAAAGCGAAGTGCCCAACCGTCAGCTGGTGGTGCAGCATACCAGTGGATGCTCTGCAACTCTTGACAGCATACAACATCCGAGGCACTGCGGAGAGTGACTCCTCGGTGCGCTAACGCGTCCACGACGTTTCGCTCAGCGGCGCTCGGGTCCTGTCATCGAGGCACGGGCTGAGATGAGCAGCCTAATGACATCACAACCCTGTATAACTGGCAGCCAGGCAAAGAGGAGATCATGGCTTCGCGATTTCATAACGTCACGACAAGTTGTCTGGATTGACTTCGCACTCCTCTTGAGTCGCATCACTGCTGCAGGGATCTCGGAGCCACGCCAGGAAATCTGGTAGCCGAATACTTTCGCTTTCTGCGGGACTGGCTTTGCCGTCTGCGTACGCGTCCAGCAGCTGTTCGAAAGTCTCCAACTTCTCCGCTGCCATCCTCGGACTCTCGGACTCTTGAATCGAGCTGCGCTCCAAGACACTCTGAAACCTAAATTGGGCTCCCCGCATCTGCAGGAGCTGCAGGACCTTTCTTCTGGGCAGCTTATCTACGTCCGCATCGCGGAAGACCGAAAGAACCGAATCCATGGCGGCAGGTAGCGAAACGCCTGACCGAAGCGACCGAAGCTTTGAGTTTCGAGCCAAAAAATGACAACGAGGCTTGACTCATTGAAGAACTGCTGGAGAATTGTATTTCCCTGCAGCAGCCCTAGCAGCCGAGCCGGGGCACAATGAAGCCATAGAGGCAAAGGAAGTAAAAGCCTTGGTGGAGAACACAACCCTGCACCGAACATAAGCGCATTCGTGAAACTGAGGTTCCGGGCCGTTGTTTCGGTTGAGGGCGGAAACAAGTCCACCGAAAAGGACGTAATTCAACGGAAGTCCCAGGTGCGAAGCCTGCAGGCATCTTCAATTCTGAGCTGCGTGTTTCTGAGCTGCAACGGCAAGATAGAGCTTCGCAGAACAAAACAAGGAACATAGATCTTGGGGTTCGCAGGCTGGTGCTCGGCCACAGAGTCCACAAGCGGGTTGCCTTTATCAAACATATTGCAGTCACTTTAGTCATGCTTTTCTTCTAGCTCACTGGCATCCAACACCGCCACTGGCTTGTTGTTGTACCTCTGGTGCACATGCTAAGGCAAGTCGGGATGCCGGTCTTGGTGTGCTTCACGAAAAGACCTGCGCATGCCAGTTGCATGAACATACCATAACACACCGTTACCCAAAGGCAGTGCTTTGAGGATGCAATATCAGCCAGCTTGCGTGCAACTGCTGTTTTTGAACGGGCCGCCTCTAATTCTGGAAGAGAGTGGGCCGAAGTAACCGGTGGGGTAGAGCATCACCTTGGCTGGTCGGGGTGAGGCCACTTCCCCAATATAAGCAATCGGTCAGCCTGAGCGAGGGAATGTCATCACAGGTTCCTGTGATGCTCGAAGGTCGCCAGGAAGGAAGCACACCAGGTCTTGTGTGCTGGGGATGTCAAGTTGTTCGCTCGATTTGTTTCACGACAAAGTGGCTGCTACGGCAACGAGAGCCAGGCCGGTCAGAACACACATCCTCAGTTCAGCTGGGCAGATTCTGGGTCTTTGCTCCGACTTAAATTTAGAGTGGCTTCCCGAAGAAGCTCCTCTACATATTACCGTGTTGAATTGCGATCCATCTACTCGAGTCCTGTGACAACGTGCAAGTGTTCTGTGTTGAATCTGCAGCCAGGTGCAGGATGCGGTATTTGACGAAGGCCCAGGTGTCCATTTTTTTTCGATGACGCTGGTAATCGCAAAATGCCAATACCTGTGAGAATCGAGATCTACAAGTCTACCGGGACTCGCTCGAGAATCTCAGCAAATGTCCTGGTAGCCGACAAAGACCAGCAGTGGACCCATCTGCTCAAGCGACCGCAAGGGCTGCCATCCTACCTGCAATTGGGTTGTTCACATGAATTCCAGTTGCTGGCAGTGCAGGAAGCACAGGCACTCAGAGGCTTTCTAGACTGAGGCATCGGCCACTGGGATTTGAACGGCACCAGCCGTGCCGATGATGTAGAAAAGCGAATACGCCCTGCCGCGCGACCAGGGCCAACGACGAAAAGACATTCGTGTGACTTCTTCCGGCGGCTGCGGCGAGTTTTCTAGCGCTCTGCAGGCGGCCGAACAATCCAAGGCACTTGTGGGCACCACTGGTGAAGCGGCCCAGCAGCACCAGCATTACAGCGTGGACCCCGATCATGTTGAGCACGAAGATGTAGCCTCACACTTGGTCAGACAGGCTGAGCGGCTCGAAACGCATCTGCGATGTTCTCAGACCGCAGCCCCCCCATGCCGCCACCATGTTGATGTATGACAGCCCAGTGAAGATTCCAACTGGCCACCATCTAGGACTGCGGATCTTGGTGGCAAGCAACCCACGAAAGTGGCAGGCGTTCCATGCATTACTGTTGGTGCAAGGCTAATTTCATCGCCTGAGCTGCAGGCAGACAACAGCCACAACCAGAACCTGAGTTGTCAGCATCTCGTGCAGGGCCAACAACACCGAACTTGTGACCGCGCTCGTGCATGATATGCCAGCAGGAATGGGGTTCGTGCATGCCCATGGTTGCCGAGCAGTTCTGTAAGCACGGTTGTCTTTGTGTGAGTGCGTATCCGTTGGACATGTGGAAATCTAGAGCGCAGGGCTGACGAAAGCTAGACAGCTAGATCCATAGACCCTGCTGATGTGCCACATCGCACAGTGTTTACCGCCTTTTTTTGGGTGGTGGCTTACACAAACACAGACATGCACACACACACACATACAAATACACACGGAACGAGAAATGGGCTCACCGATTGCATCTGTCAGCTGAAGGCCGCTATTAATCCAGCATTCACGGTACCTTAATAACCTGACATGTGTAGCTCCCTGTGAATGACTGTCATGACCACGCTCTCACTCATGCTCAAGTACATGATGTGGATGTGGCCACAAGCTGCACTCTCGTGCCCATGCCGACCACTGCAGGTACTTTTACCTGGCTCAACTCACGGAGCTTCGTTGGCCGAGGCCGTGAAATGAGACTGCGGCATCCAAAAACCCTGAGCTTAAAATCAAGGCTCTCCCACACGGAGAAATGGGCTCACCAATTGCATCTGTCGGCTGAAGGCATGCTACGTCCAGTCCTGGGATCCCTTAGTAACCTGACCTGTGCATACATGTGCATCTTGGAACTGAAATCGGCTTCACTCTGCACTGTACATTGCAGGTACGTCGGCCTGGCATCCCAAGTCGATATCACAGCTAGCCGAAAGGCCTTCGTTGATGCCAGCCTGCTGCAATCCCCTGGCAATCCCCTGCGGTTGCCAAAAAGCCCCTAGCTTAGAATCAGGGCTCACGCGCACACACACACACACACACACACACACACCGTGTGCAGGGGGAGGAAAAAAAATTGGATGGACAGGACGAGAGCGAGCG